GAGACCATCAACGCCTTTATGCTTTTGCGCGGATACATGAACGAGTTTGAATGAAAATAAAAGGATACCCGCGATCCATCGGTTGATGGTCGCGTTAGGCTGCAAGTCCGGATTATTGATCATACCTTTGATATACTTCGCGTCTACCTCCACCATCAGATTCTTCACCCCAAAGATGTATACGCGCACCGCGCGGAAGAGTCCGAAGAGTTCTAGCTTCACTTGAGAGTAGCGCCTTTCCACGTCGTTTAGTGCGATTGAGCCAAATCGATTTGGATAGCGCTTTCCATCTTCGCCTATCTGCAGCAATATGAATCCAACAGCGATATTGGAAGTATCGACTGCTAGAATGACTTTGCGCTCGCTATCATAGTCGATGCGCCTTAGCGCGGGTGATTCTAGAATTGAGTCCTTGAGGGTCTGCATGGCTTGGCGCTGTTCAGGGCCAAATATAAATGGCGCGTCTTTCCTGGTGAGGTTAACTAGCGGGCGCGCGATGAGCGAGAAATCGCGAATGAATATGCGCAGGACGCCGCAAGTTCCTAAAAATCCGCGCACTTGCGACTGATTGGTGGGTTCTGGCCAGTCACGAATCTTCTGTACCTTGGATTCTTCTGGTACGTGCCCTTCAAACGTGCATTTGTGTCCGACAATGATTGCCGTAGGCGCGGCTAGAACAAACTTTGATGTGGATACGGTTGCGCCTACGTTCTCTAGGCACTGTAGGATGCGATTGACAACGATGCAATACTCCCAGATGAAGCGCCGGATTCCTGCATTTTCGGGTATTGTCTCGTATGAACCGTCTTCGCACTGATTTGATCGGAACATCATCCACGAATGGCAATGTGAATTCTGGAATCTCGTGTTGCAGGATAAACACGGTATCACCTTGGTAAACCTGTACAGCATTAGCATGTCCTTGAGGAAGAGTGGTTAGCCGATGAGGACCCAAAGGTGTTCCAAAGGTCGTCAAGTTGCGCGAGTCTACGTGAAGCGCGCGCTGGTCATAACCTGAATATAAGTCCAATATTGCGTACACCGCGTATCCAGCGAATGCTTCTGCGAGAAGTTCAACAAAAGGCGGAAGTGACGCGTCACGAATTGTTACTGCATTGAGCGGCTGCAAGTCGTGAACTAGGTGCAAGGATTTTCCATCTTTCTTTACTACGCAAAACCAGCACGAGTGATATGCGGCCATTGATGGTTCATATACTCCTGATGAGATCTTCTCCTTGATGATGCGCACTACTTCATCTAAGGTGGCTGGCGGGATCGGAATATTGCGCTGAGACCATGGCGTGTGCGGAACCGTAGGAATCTTGTATGGCAGGAAGTAGGTCTCGTTGAGGCGCCCGCGCTCTGAGGCGTCCCATGTGAATGCGAGTTCGTGTACGCGCACGAGCCAGCGCACTAACTTGAGTTCTTCTGGCCATAGCCAATTTGCTGGGTCAAGGTCTAGTTTATCTGCGTGCGCCTGGCGCGAACTCTGGGGGATGGGTGGGTAAGTCGGGTAATCCTGCTAACAGATCATCTGGCAATTGGCGCACTACCCTATACTCTGCGGGCATAGTGGTAGGTACCGTGCGTACTTTCTTCGTGACTGGTTTATAGACCAGCGCGTGAAGTACGGGATCATAATAATAAAAGGAATTAAAGGTGTCGATAGTCGCCTTATCTATAACGGTCTGCATGGATGTTAGATGCGCATAACGCGCTGAATACTGCAGGATAGAAGATGAAGGAAATTGATGCGTAGAGACTAAAGGCAATGCGTTGTTGCTCCTTAAGAGCAAAGAATGGGATGCGCTATCTGCGCGCGCTATGTGCGGCGCGTTAGGCGTGATGCGAGAATGCGAAACTTGATGCGATAAGGAAAATACTTGGGAAGACGAATGCTTATGGGCTTCTCCCCGTGAATGCTTCAGATCATCGATACTTAAAAACCCTGTTCCTCCTCCTTGAGCGCGTGACTTGCGCACTTCGTGTCTCTTGCGAGCTGTCGCTTGACCCAAGGTAGGGTTGGAATGCGCAATTCTTTGCGCGCGTTAGGATCAGTCAGTATGAGATCCTGCTCTCCGTTGGGCAGATCAAATGTGCGACACAAGGTAAGCTTCAAGAATGGGCGCCCTAGTAAAACTTCAAAGGTCGCGCGCTCGATGACCTGGACTTGGAAGTATAAGGGTCCTGCGCCAAAATCAAGCGGGACGTTCTCTATGACTCCTAGTGTCGCGTCGCGTGATGTGTTCACTGATTCCATATTGAGGCTATGGTCCGACCTGAGCGGTATGCCGAGCTCTTTCCATACTTCCCTTGGCATGACTACTACTTCCGCGCCTTGATCTAAGACACAGGTGAGAGTGCGCCCTTCCAATGTCTTAGCGCGAATACAGTGCAGGGGTGCGAAGTGATCCGCGACGATTTTACCGTCGTCACTTCGCATGCGCACATCCTCGTATTGCTTTAGCCATTGGTTGGTCGCGGGATGCCCTGATAATTTGTACACCGATACTGCGCCTACTGTGACGCGCTTCTTGGTCGTAAGTTCGCGGAAGTGTTGGCGAACATCGGGAGATACAGCTAATAATTCCCTTACTGGGATATTGAGATTGGAATTGAGGAGGCGCTCGACAACGCGTTTGTCGGCCTCCTTGTCTTCGAGCGCGAATGCATAATGATATGATGGTGACTGTGCTGGTGCTTGGGTTGGTGTTGATGACGACGATGGTGGCAATGCTGAAGATTGGGATGGGGATGACGATGACGACAATACTGGCGTGGACGATGATGGTGTTGACGATGAGGGTGAGGCGCCCTTAGGAGGCGCCTTGGCGCTTGTTGGCGTGCTTATTGGCGTGCTTAACGGCGCTACTTTCGCTACCTCCTTTCCTTTACCTTTGTCAGACGAAGCTTGTATTTCGGGAGAGATTATCTCCTCCTCTACTGTGGCTTGCTTAGATGCAGGTCTCGGGCGCGCGCGCGTTTCGCTGGGTATTTCTACACCGTCGAAGCGCACGTTTTTACCTTTGGCATTGTGCTTCTGGTCGCGCCTTGCAGCTACATAGGCTATCGCTTCAGTCATGAGATCCACCGTCTCGTCGTCCTCATCGAGTTCCGTTTGCGCGACTGTGTGCACGAACGCAGATGAGCCTACTTCAATTACCGCGTCGATCTCGTCGGACGCGCGGTAGAATAGTCCCGCTGTCGCGCCTGTACTGGTGGTCGTATCCGGTGTCGCGCGACTTGCATGATGTCGATCTAGTCGTTCCTTGAGTAATCCTCGGCCTGGAATCCAGTCGCCATTTGGCAAGACAAGCTTGCGCGTCTCTTCGCTAACCTTACATTTACCCGCGTCAATATACCTTTGTTTCTCCGCACAACGAGGGTAGTAATGTTCGAGACTGCCGCAAAAGGCGCAGTCATTGAACATTGGCGCTTCGCGCTTATATTTGCGCTTGGTTACTGTACCTTGCGCGGGTGATTGCGCTGATGTGGTAGCTGTGACTAAGTTAGTGAATGACGTTGCCATAGGAGCGCTAGGCGTCGCGCTAGCTGCAGGCGCATTCGCGGGCAGAACGAAATGTCCAGCTGTAAAGACTTCCATGAACGGGTATGGATCCTGCGGGTAGTGATCAGGAAATTTGATCATGAGGTGTGTGCGTATTAGCGCCTGAGTATCCTTGGGAATCCCTTCCATGAATATGCGATCGCGCTCGGCTTTACCAATGCGATCTTCTGCCAATAGCAGTTGCATGACCTTCTTGAATGCGCGAAGGTAGTTGCTTAACTCCTGGTACAAGGGCATCGTCTTGTTTGCGTATTTGCGCGCGATGGCTTGTAGATCCGAAAGCGCATAGCGCCTTTTGCCATCCCATCCGGGATACATTACCTTGACTTCTTTCATGAACGTGTTGTAATCGCTTACTTGCGCCTCCGGCATTCCGCCCCATAATTCTCGGTCATTGTGCTCAAGGTAGCGGATGATACCCTTAATGCGATCGAGACCTTGTAGACCTATGTCATCAGCGAGCTGCTCGTATAGGTCGATAAAGTCGGCGAGGTTGTTGGTTGTGCCATCAAATTTAGGCGCGTCCGTTGTTCCACGGACAGGCATTCTGGTTCTTACTGTGGACATGACGGGCGGTTGGGAAATTGCAGGCGTGGGGATCTTGTGACTGACAGGTGCTTGGCGCGCGTACGCGAAAGGAAGGTTTGATATAACGGTACCACCTGGAATTGAAAATGGCACGCGCGGTGTTTCTAAGGCTTCTTGCTTGATCTTAGGTATTCCCGTTGTAGGAAGCGCATTCTCGCGTGCGGGGACTACTGGCGCATTAAGTGGAGTGTCGCTAGAGTCGTCAAGTTCGGTTAGCGCGCTTAGCGCTGACAGATTAGAAGTATTAAAAGGAGGTTGATTGGGCGTGTGGAGGAATGCTCCAGGAAGTTGGCTCCTTGGGTTATCTATTGCTTCGAAGCCGTCTGACGACTCTTCCTTGACGGATTCTTCAGGTGAGGGCATGACTGGCGATATCAGTTGTCTAGGCGCACGCGCGAAGAGCGCTGGATCTGGTCGTGGAGGTTCTGATATATTGCGCGAGCGACCGCGCGTGTGTTGAATGAATAAGGGTCCTGGTATAATGGATTCTACCGCTCTGTCGAATGCAGCGGTGGCTTCTTCTCTGGCTATGCGGCGACTGTTGGGTCTGAGGCGCCGACCTTCTATCTCAGAAGTGTCCCTTGCGGTGGGCTCCAGTTGTAGATGAGGAATCTTGACTAGATGTGAAAACACTTAAAACAAAAGGGTGCTCAACAGCAAGACCGGGATATGAGACAACGACTCGACCCAAGGGACAACCACTGAGAGAAGTTCCTCGAAATAAAGTGGAGGGAAACTCTATGAGCTAGGCGGGCGCTAACAGGCGCGAGAAGATAACGCGCGCATACGCAACGCTCAAGGTGCGCCTTCGCTTTGTGCGCGCACATTCTCGAACCTCCCGCTCATGCGCGCATCTCGCGTGCCTTTGCCTCGCGTACGTGCGCGTTATCTTCTCGCGCCTGTTAGCGCCTGCCTAGCTCATAGAGTCTCCCTCCACTTTATTTCGAGGAACTTCTCTCAGTGGTTGTCCCTTGGGTCGAGTCGTTGTCTCGTATCCCGGTCTTGCTGTTGAGCACCCTTTTGTTTTAAGTGTTTTCACATCTAGTCAAGATTCCTCATCTACACCGGTATACTAACAAACTTGCAACAACAGAATATAACTTGGAGAATGAATTTGCAGCCGGCTATGAAAACACAGATGACCCCATCGCAAAAAGAGATCAAGGTAAGCTGATGGTGTCCATACTCCTGAATTTCACTCACCGGATGTTGTGACTTAGCATACGAGCTGTGCTTCAATGGCCACTGCGACGAAATCAGAAGCATGCTGTCCGGTGAGCCTCCCATTTATTTCGATCGACTTTGCTTTTCTAAACGTCTAAAGATATGTATCTTCTGGAAAGCATGCGGACCTCTGACATTACGGTACACATGGTCTCACCACCGGGATTCACTGCCGACATCACCGGAAGAAACGACCGGGATCCGCAGGACCTTGCATGGGATAATCCGAGTTCGGAGGGGTCGCCAAAGGATCCATATGCCAGCCAATGGGGCCATCCTAGCCATGATGTAGGCATCGCCGGTTCAAGTGAATCGATGGCCGATGCCTACGATTGTGGATGGGACGATCCAATGCATGATGAAAGTATCACACTCCCGGGTAAGTCCAGGGACAATCTGTATGATTGTGGATGGGATGACCCGATGGATCATCAATTGATCATGGAATCCGGTGAGTCACCCGCTGATGCCTATGACTGTGGCTGGGATGATCCAAAAGATCATCACATCATATCCACCGATGACTCTGCGGAGGATCAATACGACTGTGGATGGGGTGATCCGATGGATACCGACAAGCCATCCACAGCGGTGATGGCAGAACAGCACTGTGGGGATGTAAACCCATCGGTGGCCGAGGATTTGTATGATTGCGGATGGGATGCAGTAGGTAAGTCGTACTCTACACGTCTGCATGATGACTTTTGAAGCAGTGCAGGTATGCCCGGCAGGCATGCAGGAAATGAACACAATGTCTTCCAACATGCGGAACATTCTATGCGACATGCCATCAGAAGCCTACGCAGTATTTGGCATGAGGATGGTGAGTATCCCTTATGTGGCATTGCTCACGATTAACACAATGGGCAGCAAATTCTTACCTGAACAACATACTGCCAACCGACGAGGTTGACCGAGACCAGATGCCAGCAGCGACGCAGACGGCAAACCGAAATGTTCTCGGGACATACGCGGACGCAGTGATCAAAGTGACAGAACTAAGTGAGGACGTTGCAACCATTCACCATTTCCTTAATGTACAGCGTCGGATCATGGACCAACTGGACAACATGATTGCAATTTGTGAAAGGGATGGCCGGGCTACATGAATAGGCGTGCCATGCCGGGTGACGGTACAAGTAGAGATTGTAATTGTAATTATATCGACTGCCGAGAGTGACCAGGCCAATGAAGAACTTGTATAAGCGCACTGACAACGTATCCGGGTAATGTTCATTGCTGGGCCGATGCCAAACAGTTGCATATATTCCCCTATATAAACGCAATTGACCGGCTGTGGCCAATTGCCATGTCGGATGAACGTGTTCCATCGAACTAAGCTCCCGGATCAATGATTGTGAGTCGACCTACATTACAATCAATGCAGTATCTACATCAGATAGCCGCTCAAACATCAGCCTATGGATCATGCCCCGGCAACAACGTAGTAACTAAAGAATCGATAACCAACCGAGGCTAAGAAAGCAATGTAAGAACTACCGACATGATCATGATCGGTATCGAACAAAATCAGCCTGATTATATCTAGCGAGGTGGTATGTGGCAAAGTCGGCCAGGCTGTATTTTGCAAACTCTGTACGTGGGGTTCCGGCATAGTTGTGCACACTGTCCCGCATAAACCATGCCCACACAATTCTGTCACCATCTCCCACCCGGACACCGTGCCTCACAAGCCGGCCAGAATAACTTACCATGACTCCCGGATTGTATAACAAATCGATGCCTAAGTTTGTCAAATTCATCACCGCATGTTTATAGCTTCCTATGCAAGTGAGAATGTCAAATCCTTCCGGAGGACATTTGGGATCACGATGACCGGGGGATTGCCTGTTACAAACAATTGAAGCGCCGGAATATGCTGACGCCCAATGCTGGAGACAGCGGTACATCTGATCTTCACCATGCGCTGCGGCCCACTGCCCAAGCGCCACGTGAGTGGACATTGATGCCCGGTAAAGTTGTGGGTGCATGACCCGAAGGGCAGCCGATGACAAGAGAGCCGGACGCTGCATATCTATAATCGATGACAGGCCGCTATCGCCCTTCAAGGCGGCAGAGACTTCCGGAATAAACCCATCCAACGGATTCTGCGGCGGCCGGCCTTGACACTGCCTGTGTTCAGTACTCAATGATTTGGGCAAGCTTGGTCTCACCTCGTGCCCCTGTTGAAACCAGCAAGGCGAAAGATTGATACACCCGGGTATCAGACCGGGTTCTTTTGATGGGTGAAAGTACGAAGTGTTTGTCCTCCATTTCGTCGTCTTTCCGGTCGATGTCTTGCTGGTGGTCATGCTTTGTTGTAACAGCTTGCCCATACCGACTGTGGCAGTAAACATATCACGCTTTTTGTTGTCGGTCAGTGTGATCGGACATCTCTGCGTGCCTAAGCTCACCTGCAGGGACCAGTTCAGTGCACCCGGCAGATACCAAAGTATAATTCTGCAACCAGCGTCGATTACAACCGATGGGCGATCCAACAGAATGCGCTCGGCGGGAGGGAACTTTGCCAACAAAGCTTCTTCACGAGCATCATTCAGTCCCGACTCTCGTTTGGTCAATGCCTCATTGTACCGGATGATATCGATATCCAGTTTGACTTCACATGTCAGGATAATTATATAACGATATAGCGCTGAACTCACTGGGATGCTGATACGCCTCTGCAAGCACAAACGCAAGTTGTCCGCATGCCAGCATTGTTTCCGGATCAAGTTCCGGAGGAGCAGGAACAAGGGGTCTGCCAGCAACATGAGCCGCGAACTGTTGCTCAACCCATTCGCTAGCTATGTCGACAGCATTGAGAGCCCAATCCTGCGGAATGAATGATGTTGGGTGAGTGTCGAGATCAAGGGCAGCCAGTTTCTCATGGTAGGCCGCCCAATACTCATGGGATATCATGATGTAGACAAAGGGTATGGTGTGTCAGCAAGGGTTGCGTCTTAAGTGAATATTTGCCGAGCAGCCTCCTAGCTTATGATGTAACAAACCTAGCGGCAGCAATGATATACACGTAATATCAGAACGCTCTAGTGTCCGGCAACACCATTTGTCATCAAATTGTACAACACAGGTATCTACCGGACATAACTCATGTAATATGTACATATACCAGACTCGTCTGCTAAATATGTCGATTTACTTCCGTAACTATTGGACATTGCGGCTGCATTCATTTGCGCACAAAGGGATGCAATTCAGGAAATGGATCTCCGCGGGTAGATGTTCCGATCCGGCCATTGTTATAATCTTCCGCCAACACGTCCACTGCCGCTTGAGAGGCAGCCATGGCGTCATAAACCTCGTCGAGAGGCTGTTCAAGACGGTTCATTGCATCGACCGCCGCTCCCGTGGCTTCGAGTTTCGCAACCAGCATTTGTCCGAGGTCTAGACCTAGCCGGGCGACTTCAGTCCGTAGAACATGAAGTTGTTGAATGAGCGGATCATCCAGTCGCGGATGAGTAATCGGTTCCGGTAGGAGCAAACCTAAGGCTGGCTAATGGTGTGTCAATGCAATTACAATTTGGACAAGACTGAACATCACTTACCCGCTGTTTGAAGTGATCGGCTGTGAGCTCGTTCACCTCAGCTACTGAGAGCCGGAGAGGCATCTGCATAGGCGTGAAATGAAATGTGGTTCCCCACCAGCAGTAGCGGTAGCGCGGAACAACCCGATATTGAGCCACCGCATCACCATCCTTGTTGTGCGGACAGTCCCGGAATCTCGCAAAGAGTGTTCGATGGTTTCGGTCTTCCGTTTGAAAATCTGTTATGTGGAGCAGGACATTGCTGAGATAGACCGGCATGCTGCTATTGATGTTCATCGCCGCGCACTTGCTGACGAAAGGTATCACGAAACGCTGTAAGTCCGTATCAGTAGAGTGGTTTCATGATTTGACATGGAATTACCTCTGCCTCCCAGATGAGGTGTTGAACAAACGAGTACTGATAGGAACCTGTTGGGTTTGGCTCCGCCAGCTGCGCGAGATGAATAGCGGTGAATCTGGAGGTGGCGTATTCAAATATATGGGCTGCATCCCAGACTGAGAATGAGCCGGCGACAGACTCGTAGAGTGAGCGAGTTTGGTCAGTCATGGTGAGTGGTAATAGGAGAACTGCGATGAAACCGGTCCTGGACACATTGTTTATATGTGTTGTCGGAGCTTGAAACCACAAATCCGATAATGTGGCTCATATTCCGGGATGTCTATGAATGCAACAAAAAACATAATGTAGCTATTTATAACCGTTACTCTGATTCACAAGATAAACCACACTCTCGGCAATTAAACAATGACCTTGAACATCGGATTTGCTTTGAGAAAGCTTGTACGTGCATGTTTGGCCAATTGGTGGTACATGTGGGCCTGCCGAATTGCGTAACATTTGTGGCCTTCTGGCAGTGGATCGCCGTTGCGAGTGATACGTGACAGCCACATACCTGCCTTGTGGAGGAAAAACTGTAAGGTCCAACACATTTCATATTCGATGAGCAATTGTTCTTCCGACCATCGGTCGCGCAAAGCCTTTGCCCGAAGCCAATGGACCCTATAGACTATGTTCGGTTATTGTTCGGTCATGATGATCTTTAGACAGTCACTCACATTCGTTCATCCAATCGTTGCTAATGGAATCACCTTGTACATCAAGAGACCAGAACCACGGAAGGGTGGAGTTTCTCTGTCCCCGGGCGTTCGGATCGGCGACTGCAGCGCTTGCCTTCAAATGACTCTTCTCCATCCGAAGATATTTTTCCAATAGAGCATGAGCTTGTAGATTGCTAAGTTGCGCCCGGCATTTTGAATAAATCATAGTTTGCAGTCTGATGACCCTTTCCACCGAATGAACCTGCGTCCATGCTCTGGTGACCTTGGCCTGAGATTTTGCCGGACGGACGGTGGTGCGGAAGAGCACAGCCTTGTCGGCTAGGAGTACTCTGATTGCTTGCAGGGTGTCGTTAGCCTGCCCTTCCCGAAGTGCAATTTCCTGACCAACTAGGTGGCCTACGCCTAACTCCGTGCATCTATGGATGCCGATGTTGGATGGAAGAGGTATCATGACATTCTCGGGGCGGAAGACCATGCATCGCGGATCTTCATGGGAATCATGTTCACTGTCGGTAACAGCGTCCACTTCTTGCTCTGAATCATCAATGAATTCAACCTCCATATCTCTGATGTCGTCATCCAGATCGAAGTCCTCTCCGAGATGATTGACTGCAGCAATCGTAAATTCATCAATCCGGCTTTGCAACTTTGTCCGGCGTCTCCCTATCTCCAAGTGCTGCGTTTCGGTGGGATGTTTTCCCAACCTCCTGATGTCCATCGACAAAGATATCTGCAGCTCTTCGATTGTGATCCCGGATGCGATCCATGTGGCGGCACCCCGTTGCGCGTTCCCACCTCCACGGCCAACACGAGCCAGCAAGGCCAGCTCTTGTTGTTTCCGCGTCGGTGCTATTCACATCCGATTGGTCATTTAGTTCGGAAGCACAGTCGGCGTGACACACCCTTTTGTAGCTGCACGTCAAAAACATCCATCGCCGAAGGATCTGCCAGTCTCCGTATTTGTGCTTGTCGATCCTGCTCTTCCCATTTTTCAACTATGGTCGGATCGGCGGCATCATGAAGCTTTTGAAATGCTGCCGTGCTTTCGGAAACTCCCTTGACAGCCTCTCGATATTTCCGACATAGAAAACCACCTGGAGATCATGAGCATCAATCATTGAGCGAAGAATGGGAGTCCTAACTCATTCTTATCATTTTCATGAAATTAGAGTCGTTCATTTGGTAGTCGAGACATTCTTGTCGGTGCGGGGTTGACATCCCTCTCGCAGAAGGAGATATAATATTTAATGGTGCCCATAACGTCTCCATAATCTCCCCATCTATTCTGGCTGCTCCTGTAATAAAGGTTGATGCATACCTCACATAGCACTTGTCCTGATGGCCATGGACATGCCACAGTCCTATTCCCGGTACGATCTCCATACCGGCAGGGATGCTCATGTATGGACTTTCATTTACCCTACGCCGGAAATGCTTGTTATACTGGCAGTTGATGTCATAGAATGTTAAGGCTCGTGTGAGTCCATTGGTGTGATGGCTCAAAGCATGACAAAGAGCGTAGTCCATATTCATTTGTCTGATTAATGACGTCAAGGAGGATACAGCCAGTGACATCGGTTACCGTACCTTTCCCCTTTCTGGAAATCAACAATGGAATGAGGCACAAAACAGCCATGTCGAGCGCATGCACAACCACCAATTCCTGTAGCTTCCAGTTTGTGTCGGGAAGCATTTGCTTGATTCACAGCCCGGTGGTTGTTGCACTCTGACATTTGAACATGTTCGTTGGCGCCGGCTAGATGGGCCTTGTATTTGTCTCGGGTCACCATGAAGCACAGGCCATCGGTCAACCATACTTCATCTTCCGGACGAGTAGGATGCAAATGTTCTGCTTTGAAATTACCATCCATGACCAGAGATCTCGCATATATCCATTCCGGATCATCGCTGTGTCTTTCGGCCGGCTGCGGCGCATTTATGCCGGGTTGAGGGCACGCTGGGCAAAAAAGAGCAAGTTCACCTGATTCCGGTTGTTTTCTGTCGTGAGCGAAGCCGTTCCATTTCAGCAGTTTTAGTTGACGCCATTGCCGTCCCACCCGCATCAATTCCCTGTAGCGGTCCTGTTTTGATGTTAATTCATACATGGATGACCAGGCAGCACCTTGCACATACCGGGACTGAGTGGGGAAATATGCTAGATGTCATTCTCCTCAATTTACTGTAGTAATTCATAGCTGATGTTCCGCATTCTAAGTTATCGAGCAGAAAGCCGTCCAGTACAGAAAACGTGAATGCTGACTTCGGCCGACTGAAAGATGCTGGAAACATGCCTATCGCAAATAACTGCTTGTCCGGGGTACATGCATTTGGGCATTTACAATACCGGATTATCAGGGAATGGACGCCGGATTTGTCAACCACGGTTGTGCATTCCTTGCCGTGAAGGAAAGGCAACTCCGGTATAGCTGAGCGATCATAGGAAGGTTCATACACAGGCTCGTCCATGTCCTCCCACTCATGTGCATTTTCCAGAACCGGACACGGCAGCCCATCATGCCCGAGATGAATTTCCAATTCTATCTTGGTTAATGATGTTTCTTCAAAAAAGCTCCCGTTCCATTTGCTAATCTTGTGAAATGGCAATCGCCTGTGCTCATGTCGACAGCATTTGGCGCAAATTATAGGATCACCGAGGCAATCATGACACCGATACACCACCGAATGTACACCGCATAATGAGCAAGACTTGTTTGTGGGCGGTGCCTCCCGTTCTAAGAGGAGGCGAAGGTAATCGTCCTTCCGAGGTATCCATTCACGGAGATAATCGTTTGGGCTCTGGGTGCCTGGTCAGCTTTGGCAGGATGGCAAACACATTGCTCACCTTCGTCTTTCTTTTCCTTAGCCAGACGTTCAGCGGACCAATGGGGTCATGACCACTCCAGTCTGCATGATGGGAATTGAAGTCCGGTGTAAATTGAGGGTTTGTAAGATTCAAAGTTTGTTTGGCGGGAGACTTTGTTGGGGATGATTGGGCAGACTGACTTGGCTGGGGTCGTTTGACCGGACACCATTTCCCTTTCCGGCCCCGAGTAGTGTCTTTTACTTTCCATTCGACTAGCTGAACTGGTCTTCGTGGAGCCAACACCCTCACTCTTGATTTGCCCATGAACTTGGTATGAAGTTGTGTGAATTAAGATGCATAATACATTGTAGACACATAATAGCCAATACCCCTCGCTTACTAGCCGAAATGAAAGGAGGGCAAATAACTTACTGCACATATTTTACATTCACTGACAATCCCACGCAAACACACACTATCACTAAATTCCATTGCTATCCTCTTAAGTCCATAATGACTGACCACGACTCTGCCTCTGAATCTGACACCAGGAAGCAGCCTCCGTTGAGTCAGGAGGAGGTGACAATCCTAGAGTCCTACATTGAGCAATGGGACTCAGCTGAGCCATCGGAACGAAAGAGGGTCTCCAAAGCAGCTGCAACCGAGGCTCGGACGAAGGCTCCAGTGATGTCTATAAGACTACTGAAGGATCGGAAAGTGGTGAGCCTCTCATCATCATCATCATCATCATCATCATCATCATCATCATCATCATCATCATCATCACCGTTGTCATCGTCGTAGTCACGAGAAAACCAGCTAAAATATCACACAGGCCTACGAGGCATGGTTCCGAAGCCAAGGGACAAAGAGGAAGCCATCGAAACCTCCTATCAAGATAGGGCAGAAATGGACTGAACGAAGTGTGGTAGACACGCTCCGGAAAAAGGAACTGTTGGAAAAAATTCAGGACGAGACTGGAGCCAAGCCTGGTACAAAAGAGATGATCAACCACTACACCAAGCAGCTTAACCAGCTCATTGCATCCTTGTCACCGGATGAGCTCCAAGAAGCCAAAGAGACGGCTGAATTATGGAACCGTCAAGGTGTTCCGGACGACGTCAAGGCCGACATTGCTAGGAAAAAAGGCGATGATATGATTCATCATTTCGCAACCGAGATGTGGAACCGTGCGGGAATGAGGGTCTTCATTGTATCTGCCTGGAAAAATGAGGAGGGTAAGATCCATGTCGCCGGGTGAGTGATCCGATCCTTTCGCCATGTCTCCTCTCACATTTCCGACAGTCACGACTATAACAATGAATATGGCGGTGCAGACTCTTTCATGAAGACTCATAACTGGGATACCATTTTGCCGGAATGGGATTCCTATGCCGAGAGCGCATTCGGTAACGACCTTTATATGATGCCTGAAGATTCACACTGACACAAAACAGACGGTAACTTGGACGGAGATGCTGTTGTCACCAGGAAGAAGGGTCGACAGGACAAGACTTATATTCTTCAGCTGGGCGATGACGGATATCCCGTGCTCCCTGCATGCGATTCTGTGGATCTAGATACGAACGGTGATCCGGGCATTTTTAACATGGCATTATAGTAGGTCGACGTCTCTCCCGCTCTGAGGGTTATCTGAATGTTGGTAGGGAAATGTTGTGGAGATCCAAAAATTGCCATTCCATGGAAGTATGTGATACCCAGATACACCGAGATCATACCTGCGGAATGTCTTCCCGAAGGCCACAGTCTTGCAGAGCCATCGAAGCTAAAGCAGGTTCATGCCACTCAGCTGCTACAATTCTGGTACAACCGACAAGAGGATGGCGAAGCGCACGTATTGGAATTCATTGGTTGGTGGGATAATGATAAGGAGGATATGGTGCTGGCAGCCGACATTGATGTACCAGTGAGGAAGCCAACAGCAACAACCCGACAACCCAAGCAGAGGTCGCAGTCCCGGAACCGGATCCGGGAGCAACCTGAACAGCAGTCTACCAAAGAAATATCAGCATCGCGTCCAACTACCAAGAAAACGCAGAGTTCCAAAACAACTCAAAGAAAGGGAGCTAGCTTGCCGCATCGTTCACGGAAGGGTAGAGGACCTGAGTCATCTGCTGATGAAGTCAACGACCAACCGATCACCACTGCTGAGTCTGTTGACGGATTGGACGACTCCGAGGATGAGATTCCGAGTCAGCACAAAGCGACCAAGTCTACAGGGAAGAGCAGGCGCCGGGTATCCATGAGTAGCAGCAACGACACAAGCAGCGATGATGAGCAACCCGGAAAGTTTGTCGACACCGGCAAAAGAACCAATAAGGATGTTCCTGCATCTCCTAGCACGCCCGCTACAGTAAATATCCGGCCCAACAAGATGAGGACAGCGGTAGAACGCCCGCAGAATGCTGTCCGCAAGCGTGGCAGGAAAGGCGTCGGGCTTGAATCTTCTGCAACAGCCGCAGAACGCACAGCCAGTGCACCCGGGGTACAGGTCAAACGGCCTGCACAGGTGGTCAATACTGCTGATGTTATCCCAGCAAAAACCCGAGTTCACAAAAGGACTGCCGAAGAATCATTGGAAAGGTCTCCCACAAAACGGACGAGGCGTCAAGCGGCAATGGAACAGGACAAGGGAATTGCGAGACAGGCTGGTAAAATGGCAGGGAAGAAACAAGTTACTGAACAGGCTACCGATGGGTCTCCCTCGAAACGGACCAGGAGCAAAACGTCACAAACCGGTGCGGGTAAACGTGCCCGGAAGCCCAACTCTCGGTACAACGATTATGTAAAACCTTGATTGATGCGGGTCTCTTTTTGGGAGGAGGGAGAGAGGGGCGCGGGTGTCTCTTCCGATAGCTTTCACTGACGGACCACAATCTGGTCACGACAAATGGACTTTGTGATATATCTTTGAAGTCATTCTATCGGTCGGGCATATGTCGTGTATATTCTACACATTTTTCATGATGGGAAGTAATACAAATTAGATTGCATAGGGAACTATAGTCATAGCATACTATCCCCCTGCTGCTCCACTCTGGTTATCATCGCATCTAGCGGGTACATGATCCGGCGGTGAATATTAAGTAAACGATGTATGTTTATGACATCAGCCCCGAGGTTAGTTACCCGATCTCTTGCCTCGGCATATGCACCAAACAAATGCCGGTTGGCCATGAAAGTGAGCCCTGGTCGTGAGTCATATACAAGTCCATCCCCTGGTGCGACAATGTTGCGAACATATCTATCGACTGTCCGACACGAAAGTCAGCCGGAATCGGAGTGGAAATGCAAAAAACTCACAGTCACTATGTCCTATGCTGTTGAGCCGTCGGATCGCGCGACGCATGGACTCTCCTGCCTCTTGGAATGCGTTGGGTTCGGTTGGAGACATGGATCTCTCTGCAACCACCAGAATTAGAACATATAGAGAAAGTGAAAATGACATACCTGAATTGGCTGATGTAGACGTCAGCACAATGGCATTCGTTTCCTTACCGAATGTCTGGTCCACCGATCGGTTGACTGATGTGGACGTAAGGTCTAAGACATCCGTCTCCTCATCGAATGTCCGGTCCATCGATCGGCTGGGTGATTCATCTAATGGCATGATTGTTTCCTGGGATGTCACATTCATGTCATCCTCCCATCCGCAATCGTACAGATCCATCGGCGACGATACTTCAGGTGAAACTGAAGCATTTGAAACAGTATCATCTCATCCACAATCATAGGGATGATACGTCAGGAGCGTTGATTCAACATCTTGATCGAAGGAGTGAGTTCCTGTGGTCAATTGTACCGGATCTTCTGTTGGGTTCAAATTAATCAGCTCCATGGCGAGTGCCAGGCTGTAGCTTACCTTCCGGTCTTGTACAGCCTAATCCGGTGAGTTAGTTTGGTTTTATAACAAAATGAAGCAAAGCACCTTCTGCCAATGTTTGGACGGCCGGTGACACACGAAAGACCCCCATTGATGGGGAACACCGGGCTGTGAAAAAGTTGGGTGTGCGGAGCAACTCTACAACATACATGTCTAGTACGAAGTGTGAGATCAACGATGTTCAGCTTTAATATGGCACTCACCTGACAGCATGCTTGTGACTTCATCAAAGTCGCCATTAAAACATCGCTCGTAATCTACGGGACAAGGTTGATTCAGCGATGCCAGTATCCAGGTAACGACTTACTTTTCTCTCTCTTTCCTAAAGAATCAACCCGATATTCATAGCTATGGGGTAACTCAGAACGTAATTTATATACTGCCAAGGAAATGTTTTGATCATTACCGGCTGATAGGGGTTAAATGGTGAACTTGCATTTATATATCGGATAAGATTCCAATCCGACGATTCCTTGGAATCTTGGAATGCTATCCGGTTTTGGAGGAACCCACGACTCTAAAGGGACATACTTGCCCCACCAATCTATGGGGTCCTCGGGCAATGCGGGGCGTGGCTCCACCGGGGAGTCATTCGATACAACATCATTTGATACAACACCATGATCTTGAGTGGGATTAGAACTGAACATGATGCTAGTCCATATGTCACCAGCATCTGGAGGGAGTGAGTCGCCAGCCTCCGAAGAGACTGGAGTGGCAACACGAACGCGTCTCTCAGACATGAATGTTTGTGTGAAAATGAATCTGAGAAGGCGACGAGGTGCCAAGATATACCTTCAATGATTTGTGGACCACCGACTGTGGAAACCAAATACGTGGGACAATGATTGGTGAAATCCTTCTATTATGTGATTATTATATGATATCGGTCCATGCTGCCGTTCTACATTCGCCATGAGGTCTCAGAAACACCCACAACCGACAAATTGGTATTGATCCTGACATTCGTAAAATTTCTCAGAGTCATTCCTCTTTCCCTTCCGCATAGCATTACCCTAACTTACCAACATCTTTCACATACTCCTATGATACCTTCCGAAGAAGCAAACACTGCCCTCAATGATACTTTGAAAGATGTTCAATCCCTCATCAAACGATGTATGAAGTTAAAAGAAGGCGATTCAGTGACGGTGTTGGCATTGTTGGATGAGATTGTGAGGTGCTTGGTACGTCCGGTTACCGTTGATTGTCCAGTTAATTTTGGATTGCAGACATCATTTGTTTCAGGCAAAAGATTTAAAACTCTATGGAGGGAGTGCAACATCATTCTCTCCACAGCTGCTGTCATGTGCAGTGGTCATACGGCAGTACACTACAGGTGGCATGTTTACATCGTCACTGGACTGGACAACCATCGGCAACAATGACCCACACATCAAGGATCATCCACGTTTCCAGAAGACTATACATTATCGAGCTCCTACTGGTTCCAAAAAGACGGAACATGAACTTGCCTCTCTTGCCCAGATGGATGTACGACAAGCTGTCTTATCATTTCCATCACTTGACAGTCCGGAAGGCAGTCCCAGGGCTGATATCCAGACTCCCATAAAGCTTCTCCCCAGCATGGAGAAACCTCAACATGTGATTTCCTTGGAAACTGTTGGTGCTGTGGCATCTCATTCTCCCCCGCTAACTTTAACAAAGGCCTCGGAACCGATCACTGCTCTGCCCATGTCAACGGTGCCCGCAAGGACGCCAGAGAAGACTGTTTTGACCCCCCGCCAACTTTAACAAAGACCATGGAACAGCTCATTCCAGTGCCCACATCAACGGCGCCAGCGAGGACGCCGGAGACGACTGTGCTGACTCCCTCGCCAACTTTCACAAAGGCCTTGGAACCTCTCACTCCTCTGCCCATATCAATTGCGACCGCGAAGTCACCGGAGCAGTCTGTTGTGACTTGGGACCCAAAGACATGGGAGAAGACTCACAGACAACATCGTAATGATAAAAAAAGGCAAGTGGAAGATGATGTTGCCGACGAAACAGATATCATACATAGGCCTGCCCCATGTCCATTATCCTGGCAACCAAAAAGGAAGAAGAAGTTTATGTCAGATGATGAAGAGGAGACCCGGCCCCATGGAACTATATATGTAGCACGGAAGGTATGAAGACACCTAACAATCCTTTAGCTCTAACCGTAGCATCACACACAGCAGCACACATCATCATCAATGGCTAGTGCAGTTGCAACAGGGTCAAATGCAATGTCCTCTGATGTGGTCGGTGATAAGGGTTTCTGGGATGTAGACACCAGGGTAGGTTGTCGTCTCTCACTGATTCAATTGTGATGTTTATGCTCCCAGCCTGCCGGATGGGGTAGGGATTCCACCATTGCCACTGCGGCAGAGGTAGGTGCTTGATTATTTAGGTGACAATCACCGGTAATGAATTTGGTGCAGTATTCCATTCGTCACCACCCCCGGAAGTGTGACAAATGCATGAAATTAGATGTACCTTGTATCATCCTCCTGGATAAGAAGTACGGCTTCACAAGACTCGCATGCGTGAACTGCGACAAGATGAAGATCACTTGTGCAATTGATGGTGTCGGTGTCTGGGAGAGGTTGCAGGCAAAGGCTAAGTCAACAGACACTGCTGTACCCCCTCCCACCAAACATTCTAAGACTCGAGCCCACAAGTTGTGGGCTGCCAAATCACAGGCTAAACATGTCCCGTCCAAGAAAGCACGACCAACAACTAGATTCTCCCGTGCTGAGAAGAAGGTTGTACATCATTTGTTGGACGGTAAGCATTGAATCCATTGGGCTGGCGAAGATCAACACATCACAATTTTCTAGATACAATCACGGAATGACCAATGGGCCTCGTGAAAACACATCCGGATCCGCCAGCAAAACCCAATGTGCTGCAATTGGAGCCTGTGTTGGCCCCGGCAACTGCCAATTCATCGACATGCATCTGGGAGACACAAGTCAGCTCATCCGCACCCGGAAACCCACCGGAGCCTGAGCCATCTGCAAGGGACATCTTGCATAGCATACACGATCTCGGCAAGCGTTCTGATCTTCTTGCTATGAACGAGCAGGTGGATGCAATGGACGAGAGGTTAGACTCGGTGGAGGAACAACTTGATATCAGATTGACTGTGCTGGAGCAACGGTTAAGCACATCGGCCGAGCAGTGGAAAGCAACCTCGTCGACTGTGGGCAATTTGTCCATGAGCGTTCAGAAACATATAAATGATGTTGCCATTCGTCGGCCTCGGGAGCATGTTGGTGGACGTATAGCATCACAACAAGACAATGCATCACTTCTGCCATGGACATTCCGAAATGCTGGTAGCGGAAATGAAGATATCGCTCTCTCTCATATAGGGAGGCCAGCTCATGGACTGACAGAACATGGTAATATAAGAAGGGCACACTATTCTGGGAGGTCAACATCCGCTGCTCAAATACTGGGCGTATCACTTTCGTTGTTGTCCTCACCTCTTTCCTCTCGATTCTCAAGTGCACCGCCCGGTATGTCGGGCGAGTATATATTGATTAGTTCCGGCATCAGAGGCAGCTCATATCATACTTGTATTTCTACCGTGATTCTGTAGGGTAGTCGGTACATTTTGGAGTCTTTGGCGCAAGGCTCGAATACTGTACCAATTTGATTGCTGAATGGTTAATTTATGAAGAAACTCATGTACACAAGGCACTACCATTTCGGCACTCGTTCTGATCACGTATAGTCCTGGATTGACTATGTCAGCTAGTACCATAGTTTCTGCTCCCCTTAATATCTAATGTGGTTGGATATAAGTGGTTGATCCCACCCACAATGGCCGAATTTCGCCCACAGAATGGGTCGGCCGGGCCCTCCTGTAAACACGAGATTGTTGTAATCAATATAATTCTCTATACGATATAAGGCGACATCCAAGTGACTTGTGATATTGATGTTCCGGATGATGGTATACCTAATGGGCGGCCAGGTACGTACCTCTAGGTATGCAACCGAACACTGTAATGATATCAATGGCGATCTGGATCTGACATTGATATTCATGTCGGAGGGATGCGCAATATATGTAGCATCCACTGTACTGTAGTTGGGAGTGATAAACCTTGCATTCACGCCTTTGCCACAACCACAAGAATCATCCAAACTGGAGCATTATGCCATTGGATGTATCACAGCTTGATATGATACTTATAAAGTGATGCACATCCTAACCTGCCAGGCCAATATATTATAGGAAGCAACAGTGCAGTCTATATCCACAACATACATGGCCCCGGAACCGAACTACAGAGGACGGCGACCGGGAACAGCATAATAAAGAAAACAGTAGCTAAAAGTCCAAGATATACATATATACATTGTGAACCTGGTATTATTACATAAAGTTTTCCAGAAACTTGTTGGGGACTGTAAATTATCTACTGGGCATCTGAGGCGTTGAGCCTTTGCTCCAGTGCATCTAACCGCTGGTGGAGGATATTCTCCACCGAATGCACTCTTACCTCCAAGGCGTCCACCCTCTCATTGGTGGCCAGGAGATCCAATCTCCTGCCGAGGTCGTGGATGCTCTGCAAGATGTCTCTTGCAGTTGGCTCGGGATCGGTGCGGTTTTCTGGCGCAGGCTGATTGTCCTGTGCTGGCCGACAGCTTGTGCCAACGGTTGGGACTGTGCGCATGGGTGCACCGACCGGCGGACACGGCTGTTGCTTCTTCTCTATGATTGGATTAGTCTCAGGTTCCTCGTCGGATTTAAAAGCAAACTCACCTTCAATTTCGTTGAGCTCAACCCGAGGGGGTTTGGCAAGTGATCTCTTACCCGGGGTCTTGGAGATCACATGGGACGTCTTCATGCGCGTTCCGGAGTTTCTGGCCAGCTTTGATGTTGCCGCGGCCACCTTCGCTTGCATTCTCTGCCTGATGCCGACACCGTCGATGGCACAGGTGATCTTCATGTGATCGCAGTTTGCGCATGCGAGTCGAGTGTATCTGAACTTTTTGTCCGGAAGGACAATGCAGGGTATGTCCAATTTGGTGCACTTGTCGCACTGCCGAGGATGGTAACAAACAGAATGCTTGAAAATATGTTAGTCTTAAACTCCTGCTATGTACGGATAGACTTACCTTCCACGGCATTGCGATCTGAGAATCCTGACCCCATTTGGCAGGCTATAAAAAGAATCAGTGCCAGAATGCTCCACAGAGCGCGGATAACGCCAATGAGAGGGTGGACGCCTTGGAGGTAAGAGTGCATTCGGTGGAGAATATCCTCCACCAGCGGTTAGATGCACTGGAGCAAAGGCTCAACGCCTCAGATGCCCAGTAGATAATTTACAGTCCCCAACAAGTTTCTGGAAAACTTTATGTAATAATACCAGGTTCACAATGTATATATGTATATCTTGGACTTTTAGCTACTGTTTTCTTTATTATGCTGTTCCCGGTCGCCGTCCTCTGTAGTTCGGTTCCGGGGCCATGTATGTTGTGGATATAGACTGCACTGTTGCTTCCTATAATATATTGGCCTGGCAGGTTAGGATGTGCATCACTTTATAAGTATCATATCAAGCTGTGATACATCCAATGGCATAATGCTCCAGTTTGGATGATTCTTGCGGTTGTGGCAAAGGCGTGAATGCAAATTCATATTCCCTTGGCCAATCATGACTAGCTGGGCCCAACTGTTTGTGTAATCAGTTGGGGTACACCCGTGGTGAAATAACCAACCGTGCTAAACCTTCAGTCCTTCCAATTTCACACTCATAATAAGCTGGGCGCAACAGTCGGTCCTTCCAACATTGTATACATATTGACATATGACGAGCTGGCTCTTCCGAGATCACTTGATTGTGCTCCTGGGCCGAAAACAACTAGCCAACCCTTCCGATATCAAATGCTTGTTCTCCTGAGCTGAACCATTTCCTCTCCAAGATTATATGCAATTCTCCTGGATGCATCGAAAATGAGTGGTCAGCCCTCCTGAGATCTGCTGGGCTAAACCGTTAATCCTTCCCCCGACAATATTTCCTGAACCCAAACACAATCGGCCGGCCCATCCAATATCAGACGCATGCCCACCAGCTGGCTTGTATGCCGGGACAACACATGACTACCAGTTGCCGCTTGTGTCCACAAATTACTGGCTTGGCCCAACTGCCAGTCTTTCCGAGTATTCTCCTGGGCCGAAAACATACCTAGTCGGCCCTTCCAACATCAACTGCATGTTTTCTCAAGCCCATCCGTTGGCCCATCCGAGATCATGTACACATTCTCCTGGGCTGAAAAATCACCAGTCGGCCCTTCCTGTATCAGCTGGGCCAACAGCCATTCCTTCTGACATATTCTCTTGGGCCGAAACCGATTGGCTGGCTCTTCCGATATCATATGCTGGGTCAACATAAAACCTACTGGTCAGTGCTTGGGCCCAAAATCACTAGCAGAGCCCTTCCAAGATGACATGGATATAGAATATCCAGCTTGGCCTATCCATTCTTCCTTCTGAGACATATATACAGGGCCCATCCGTCACTCTCAGTACCTGTATCCCAATACGATCGGCCCGCTTATCCTATTGATCTCACACTTGGCCGACCCGCCAGCATGGGTACTATTCCAAGCTGTGGGCCCATCCGTGATCAGCTATGCTTGGGCCCACATTGGATGGCCCACCTCACTGGGTCGATTCTCAACCTTTGGCTGTCCGACTAAGTCGGGAAATGTTACTGAAGGGGCTCATAGAATGGGGTTGAAAATTATACCTGGTTGATATTATAAAGGTCTACAAGTCCACTAATCAAGGCAGAGATAGCTCAATTCCTATTAGTTTATGTCAACAGTTAACACCACACTGGGATGACATGGCCTATGCTGAGCGTACTAGGAAAAGAGTATTTGTCATGAGATTCGCAACTGGCTATGGGGATCAACTTGGTCAAATAAGGATTTTTGGCAGTGCAAAGTACAGTGATCTCAAAGTCATATTATATAAGAGTCATTGCTTGGGTGGCTCAGAAAGCTACAAATTAGAGTTCCTGGTAAGATATGAATGATTTAGTGATGCAAGAACAAGGAATCCAATATTGGTAAACTTACTAAACAAATTTCAACAGCTAATTGCAGTCAGGATTGTCTTCTATGAGGGTGAAAAGTAGGAAGATGGTTTGAGCCTTTGTTGGAGGAATTATCTATTACTGAACACCTGGCTGCAGTCATAAGAAAGGCTGTCATTAAACTTAGAGTTCCAAGTTCAAAATGAGGTCAAATACATACACATGCATATTTTAAGAATGGACTTAAGAATATTCATCCCCACTTCCTCTTTCTTGTAGCCTTGACAAGATATTTATTTCGCTCCTTTCTCTACTGCAACAGCTGTCATAGATTTTAGGGAGTAGTCCACAGTACACTAGATGTGTTCCCAGGTCTTTGACTTAGAGTTATTTGAGAGAAAGGCTGAATACTCAAGGACAATGATAGTAGCTGTTTCCTGTTATTAGAATTACAACTGGTCATGTTGTGAGAAACTAACCCATGCTAGTATGAATAATCCCATTCGCAGCATCAGTGAAGAATGGCCCCTTCACAGCCTATTGCACACTCTTACAGCTGCAACTAAGAATCAGTGGGAAGGAAAACCAACCTATAAGCTTCCTGAAACTTCTGAACTCCAGGGATCTTGGATGACAGATTTGGGACCTCCAAAATACTAAGGGCAAATATTACAACATGGGCCACATTTGTCATCTTCTTTCTTGTAAAGATATCTTCCCTAATGATGGTGTACTATTGTTTGGTATCATCCTACTCTGCATGGCATAGCACACTCGTATTGAATATGATTTACAGATACAGATTGTATTTCTTTTGGAGTTCAATCAAGCAGGCTTGAATTTCCTCTTGAAGGTCATTGGCTTGCTCTACTATGAGTTGATAGTAAGCTATACCAATCAATATTGATATTTGATGAGTATACCTAGAAGAATCTTCAAGGTGAGTGATGTCTTATAGTCTCAGTCATTGATAATATGTACAGGATATGTATTGGCCTATGGAAAGAATGTCAGGAAAATATCTAGTACAAGACAAAAATGTACCAACTACACTCCACCCACTTCAGATGGTGACCCTTTCTCACATGTTTATTAACATACTCAGCGAGCATACCACTCATCACATAGATGCACCCACTATGGAATTGTGACATCCGAGTTTAGTTTTGAGAGTAATAGCTTGGGTCAACCTGGCAACACTACATATGGTCCAAATATTCAGTTGGCGTAGAATCAAATCAAAATCAATACTTACCTGGTGCCAATGATGATGACTCTTCACTCAGCATCTCTAACATTTATTGGTTGGTGTGCCTGACAAGTAAATGACAAGAAGAGGACTGGAATGCAGTTGCAGGAAACTGGTCAGCCTTTTCATCTTGTTTACATCCAAACTGATTCTCTGTCAGACAACCAAGCAATTTGGCTTATTTGAGTGATAACATGTTGGTCCAAGATGCTCATGGATACTCAGTACTCAGCTATTCTCCATACTCTCTAGAGACATTGAGAGTGCCACCTAAGCAAAGTCCTTTTCGTTCATATTGGTGTGTTTCTATTGTATTCACTTCAGTATTGCTGTAGCCATCATTTACTTTGGTGTGGCCCAGGCGGCCCAAAGGCAATTGCCTGTTTCAATAATTTATATATGGAAATTATGCTTGACAAGTTCCTGTGATGCCAGAGATCAGTGGATGGCTTGTATTACTCACTTGAATTCACTCTGCTAACCTCCCTGTCCCCACCTTTATATGTCATGATTAAAGTCACAGGAACTGTTGATTTCTGAGTTGGAAAAGAGACTTACTCTGGTAGGACCTGGTATCAGACTGGTAAATCTGGATTTCAAGTTGGATAGTACGTGGCAGTGAATGGCCACTACTTTCCACTGGTAGTTGCAGTAAAGCAAGTGGGAGGAAGAAAACCAGGATGACCATACTTCTAAGTCTTAGCTTGGCGAAAAGGATCAGGGGCTTAAGAAGTAACCCAACAATGATACTGACCTCAGCCCTGTAGAATTGACCTTTGAAGAAGATGCAGTTTCTCTCTCTTCCTTTAATTTGCTCGTTCCATATTATCTGGATACTGTGTGAGGTATGGGTTATCACTTTGGTGTAATGTCTTGCACTCTTCTTGTCATTGGAAAGATCATCAGTATCAGTATACTCTCAGCTCCATCCTCCATCCTCCCCAGTGTGGTGTGAAGAAGTCATTAGTAACTCAGTAGCAAATAAGCTAGAGCACTAATATAATCCTACTTAGTGCAGGTGTGCTATATCGACCCAAGAAAATTGCTATGAAGCACTTCCTTCAAATATAATGCAAAGGGAGTAGATGCGGAACTCGAGAGAACGAATGCGATTTTAAGGAAAGCGAAGCCGACGATGAGAGCGAGGGCGAGAACACGAACCTGATGAAGGTATGATGAGAAATGAGCGAGAGGTTACTAGGTAATGCGCGATTTTGTGGGTAGTGGCTAGGTATGGATGAGGGTTATGGCCGAGGTATAACTAGGTATAGAACACTAAGTTTGAACCCACGTACTGGATGGATTTGCACAGAGCCTAGGTAATGAACTTAGATGTGCGCTTTGTGAGCGGTCGAGAACGCACAGGTTCGAGTAAATGAGAACAAGACTTGTCAATTGATCAAAGATACTAGAAACGTCTAAGTGACTTCGCAAAACAAAAGGATAGTGACTGAGGGAAGGGAAGTGCTCTACTCTATGTAATGCGCGAGATTATATCCTACTGCATGAATGTCCAGAACCCATAGGCGAGACTTGTAGCGATGAAGTGAGGCAGATAAGTAAATATGTAATGTGAGCGTGCGCAGAGCGGAATACACAGATACATGTAATAAGCCATGCTATGCTATTAGTCAACCTGAAATAGAAATGAACATGCACCAGTGGAACTTGACAGACATGGAAGGACATGGATGGACAGTATGGAAAATTGGACCCGAGAATGGAAAACCACTGGAAGATAGTGCAGTCGACAAAGGCTTCATTGCTAAAGGCATATGAGCTGATAATTTCCTATATTTCTTGACACCTATATAAAAGACACTTGTTTGCGCCCAATGCGGGTATGAGCGTCACAGTGGACTAAGTAAGTGCCTCCCTCATGCTCTGGGTCCTCAATTTCTTGCTTAGCCTCTGTGATTTGGCTCGAGTTTAACACCATGTTCCCTTGCAGTGGTGGAAAGAAGGTATACCTGAGGCCATCTACAGAAATCCCAAGTACCTCACCACCATAGTATTTGCTGCCAATACTATATTACTTAGATTTACTGTGAGCAGATGTATTGTCAGTCATGTCTTATTTTGAGTAGGTATCCAGTGTTGAAATTTAACTGCTTCATTAAGGTTTTTGCTAGGAAGTGCATATTTTGCATCTTGTTGAAATGATTCAACTGATATGATGTAGTGATATTGGTTGCTGCTGATCAAGCTGTGGGTTGCTGGAATGAGCACTTGAAGGTATATTTCCTAACTAACTGGCATGTTATGGTCCTCTAGTCAGTGGGCTATCAGTACAACATTGACTTACTTGATCACAACTTTTCTGGCCAATTCACTACTACCTAATCCCAACTTTATCATTATATTCAATATCTCCCTTCCAGTTGCTCTCAATATTTAGGATAGTAATTCTTGTATTCATTGTGGTTACAGGCTGAATAGCTCTCTCCAAAAAAACCCACATAATAGACCTGTACTATAATCTCGAAAACATATTCTCACGGAGCTCCACAAGTAGCAATGATGTATATTCAATGATATTCCTAAATACCCATATGCTGATTATGGTGTTGACAGTATGCTACTGCCAACTTCAAAGTCCTGTGTACATATTCAGGATCATTCAATGTGAGCTACATGATGAACTCCTTATTTATCTGCACCAGTAATGACTGAATAGTATCAACAGAAGAAGTTAAGGAGTCTAGCATTACTGTCATTGCTTTGTTTGTTGGAAATGTTCTTGGTTCTGTTGCAGAGCATGCACTATCAATTCTCATTACTCCCAGGTGAGTTTGACATCCTGAGTTTAAGTGTTTTATGATTCATAGTCTTCATGATAGTGCTCTTGGAGTGAGTCCTATGTATTGGGTATCATAATATCCATGTTATGATGGGCCATAGAACATTATCACTTCAGTGAGTTAAGGTATGTCATGAAAATGTGTGGCTCAAGAACTTTTCTTTTGGACTTTTAAAGGAATAGATTTCTACTGCGACTTTCTAGGTAGTAAGTTGGTAAATAAAGTTGGGTAAAGTGAGAAGTAAGTAATAGTATGTACTGCTGGGACTTATATATGGTGCCTAAGCACTGTCATGCAGAGCTGAAGTGCTTCCAAGCAAGGTATGTAAAGATATATATAAGTAAGGGTCCATAATGAAAATAAAGGTAGAATGATATGCAAATAAAAGAAATGGAAATATATGCACTAGAGAACTTGGTAGACAGTGGATGTATATATCTGGATGGCTAGCGCTATAGGGTGCTCAAGTGTGGGAAAAAATACATGCATATACATTGCAAAGCATGGGAAGTGAACGTGCATGGCACATGTTGTACAGAAAAGCTGCACCTCATATAGGGATAGCTACAGGTAGCACACAGAGTGATACTACAAGTTCATGCCATGTACTTGCTAGGGAAAAGTGCCATATCACACCATGAGAGGCATGAGTCTCTACATTGACCCTCTTATGCCTCTTAGTATACTTACATCTGTCTCTTACCAGGTGTTGAATGGTGAACCAGACCTATCCACAGCTCTGATTGAGGACTGGATATAAGTTTGAGCCAGTGGTATGGCTTCCGTTAGGGACTGGACATCTCATGAGTCTCAGTATTTTTACACCTGAACTTATAAACTTATAAGACATTTTGTATTATCGAATGACTCCAGCTAAGGACTAGACCTCTGGGTAGCTAATTGATGATATGCCTCAGCCTATGATGTAGCACCTGTTGGAGACTGCATATATGTCATCCGTGATGATATTCACCTGCATTATGCCATGGCTCCCACTGGAGACTGCACTTACATTAACCAAGTGTATTGATCATTCATGTACTTATCAGATAGCTCCTATTGGGTGCTGGACCTTTAAGTTGTCCTGATGTGATAAAATCTGTTCCTTGACAGACAGCTCCCATTGGGGAGCGGATGTCATATCCCATATTCTAGACCTACATCCGACAATATTCCCACGCCTCATCCAAACCTTTAAATACCCTATCCATGTCTCCAGTCCTCTATCCATCCGGATCTCTGTACCTCTGCACATCCACATCCAGATCCCTTTACCTCCGTATATTAGACCTCCATATCTCTGCAGCTAGCCTGCATTATTCATCCTTTTTCCTATCATCCTAATGTTATATTCCACATTCCAGACAACATCTGATGATGTTCACATGCCTCATCTGGACCTTCAGACCTCCTATGCATGTCTCTAGACCTAATCCTCTATCTATCTGAATCCCTGTACTCCTGCATCTCTGGATGCTATTAAGAATGTGCTCAAGGGTCAAATCCGAAGGGCTTGGCTTCAGCTCGTGCACTGTGCCCCTTACCTGAGTACGTGCCCCTAACTTCCGAGGGCTGTTGAACAATGTCTAAAGGTTACCGGTCATACTAAGTTCTTATATCAAGTCCTAGTCCTTTGACTTAGTTAACTTGGACTTTCTCCAGACATCATTCTGAAATTAAGGACACATACTCAGGTAAGGGGCACAGTGCATGAGCTAAAGCCAAGCCCCTTTGAATCAGTCCTACCCTTTGTGCATAGTCTTAACAACGGACCTCTGATAAGTGTTAGTATGATTTTCCTGTACTTATGAGACATCTTGCATAGTGAACCAGATCTCTTAAAAGTATCATTATGATTTAAACTAGTATATGTTGAAGGCTCCAATTGAGGATCAGAGCTTTGAAGTAGGATCATTAATGATATTTGCTTCAACTGGCTGGTATGATGTCTCCCATTGGAGACTGCACCTCAATGTTGTTTTTTGTGCAACCTTAATAACCTCAACCATTGCAACTGCTCCCACTACTGCGATCTCAATAGAAGATATATCCATCTCAGGTGAGACAAAAGATAATGATCAGGAGTAGGAGATTAGACAGGCAGTAGTGGAGGAGTCTGGGGAGATTGATGAAAGAGAGGCACCACCTGTTGAAAAGTCAGGTTTTCATACTATGAGTGCCACAAGAAAAAAATTAAGTGCTCCCTTGTACAAAGAAAATGTTTACCTTATTATTCTGAAAAAATCAGTACTAAATTTAAAATCAGGCAAAGGGAAGCAGAAGACCATAGCACCCCCATATCCACCTCTACTTTTACCAGTGCTGGCTCCTAAGCCTAAACCTAGGCCAAAGCTGGTTGCTCTAACTACCCATCCTATCTAGGTATCTTCAAAGGTCACCCAAGTGCCAGGCCTGGCCACTAGGACACAGAGTAAATCCAGTGAGCCACCTGCTATTGCACTGGCACAACCACAGATAATGCCAGGCCTGTTGTACATCCAGAAAAACACCTATATTGAGCTTCAGATGAGCAGCAAGCAGAAGATTGCTGTCATTGAGGAAGAGAGCAAGAGCAAGAATAACAAGGAGGATACATACATGGCCAGTAGGATGTCAGGTCTCTCTAATATTCTACAGATGATAGAGATGGCCTGTATCACCATAAGGAAGGAGATGGAGGAAATTGATGGGCATGTTTCAAAGTGCCACTACTAAATAGGATGATAACTTGTATTATATAATACCAAAAAAATGATTGTAGTTATAGTTTACATGGTTTTTATAGTTAAGTTGGTACACATGGAATAGCATGTAGCCATCATGACTTGATAGTGATATCTATGTGAGGTGGGTCTCTTAATATTATATGGTCAAGGTCTCTAGATGACTTATTACTTTAAGTGTGCAACTTTCACATATAATAGAAAGAATTTCCATTGTACATGTCCGACAGTTCCCATTAGGGCCTGGACTTTATATCAGAGATGAGATGATCATAGAGATGCTTGGAGGACAGCTCTGACAAGGAACCAGACCACTGAATGAGATTACATATAATATATGTAAATAGACTGTCTGTCTGCCTGTGGTATGGCTCTTATTGAGAACCAGATCTATAGTGAGGGTTAGCATGCTGATACTGCTTGAGCAGCCTAGGATCCGGTCCACCCTAGTGATACATATCAAGATACATGTATGTAGCATGAGTTGGTCAGACACACACCTACATCCTTATATGATTACCATTAAACACTATCATATGTCATACATAGAGAGCCACCAGCAGTGTGACTATATAGTGACTGGAGTGCTTTATATGTGACTATAAGAGATATATCTCAGTAGTGTGTGGCTCCCAATAAGGACCTAACAGGGTACAGGGTGTGATGTATGATAGTGTTTAATAGTGATCATATGAGGATGCAAGTGTGTGCCTAACCAGAGTCTAGAGTTCTACTTAGAATTAGCAGAATATAGGGTAGGTTACAGGTATGACTTTATGTTTCATTGGTCCCTATGGAAACTGGTGGGGTAAGGGCTGCTGTATGGCATCATATAAAAAGAATCTTAATAGAGACTGGCATGACACACATGCTTGTAATTAGTATGGGTCAGCATGCCCTGTATTTGTACTTATAGTATTTATATTGTCAAAACAGAAATAGGTTTCAAAATTCAAAATTTTTCCTCTTCTTAGGCTGGTATATATTTTAAAGGGATACTCAAGAATCAATAGATATTGCCAAAATACTAACATTTTTGCACATGTAGCATATCTCATGATTCTTGCACTCTATAGAGTTTGGGACCATCACTAATCAATTTCTAGGCATTAAAAACACTGGGCCCATGATTTACAGTATCGGTCCTAGGTCATAATCTAAAATAGCAGGATGTATGAAATAGGAGAATGGAGAAGGACTATATGTATCTCAAGAACATGATTTTTTCTGGACAAATAGGCTTAACCATCCTGTTCAGGGACATGATTAGGCTTTAGGAAAAATGCATTTGGAGCACAAGCAAGGCATGGGAAGCCTATAAAAATAAATCTTTGAGGGAGGTACCAGAAAGACTTCTATATTTTTGTCAGGATGGGCTCAGACTACTCTGGGAGTATCTCCAATCAATTTATATGATCAAACAACAGTAGGATCATCCTTTATATACTGGTATTTACATAATAACAACATATATGGAGTAGGAAGAGGGAGGAGGATCATGTGTATCTTAATAATCTAATTGTTTCTGGATAAAAGTGCTCAACCACCCTGTTTAGGAGAATAAATTGGCCTTAGGAAAATGCATTTGAAGCACAAGCAAGTCATGGGAAGCCTATAAAAAACGATCTTTGAGAAGGATACTAGGAAAACTTCCATATTTTTCTTAGGATGGGCTCAGTGTTACAAGTAACATCGGCTACATGGCCCCCCTATCATTTTTCCCCTTCATCCTCGCCCTCGTATGCCTCCAGCTCGTACTTCTCTACCGACTATCTGTTGACCAGATCCTCAGGACCATTCCCGTCCCTTGCCTCCCTCCTATCGCACCAATGTGCGCACATGCCTTTGGGCTATGACTTGTCCTGACTCGTGCCACTAATGTGGCTTTCCTTATCTTCCCTCTGACTCATGCGTGCTGCGCATTGTACCTCTTACTGTTGGCTCGTTCCAATGTTTCTCGGTCTCATTCCGCATTTGACCTCACATCACTAATCAGGCTCTGCTGCCAGCATACCTATACCTCTTTCTGTTTCCCCTTTGTCCTTACCTACAGTACAGTAGCCTTGCCGTTAACTCTTTCCACTTAGTATAAGTAGTCGGTCACCTTGTACTAGATTCCCTAACTTGAATCTACTCAATCTTCCCTGGAACATACTTCCCTCTGAAGCCCCTTCAGCTTCAGTCTCTAGTATCTTTTCTTAAAGTGCTCATCATACTTTAAGTCTATCTCAATCGACCAACTCATCATTAGGACAAGACTGTCCTTACTTTGAAGACATCAGTAACTTCAAAGACATCCGTCTTAGAAGTCACGTAACTCGCGCGTCTCTGATATCTGCCGACTCGACATTGCCAGTCTCAGTCGCTACACCGGACCCTTCTGGTTACGTCACGAACATTAGCAGACGACGCCCCTCTTAGGGCTCTGCATAACAGACCTATTTGAGTGCATAACACTCAGACCACTTTGAGACTATCTTCAATCATTTAGATGATCACAAAAAAGGAGAAACATTCTTTCATACATGGTATTTACATAATAACAAGATATATGAAGTAGAAGAAGGACTAGGAGGACTATGTGTATCTCAACAATCTGATTTTTTCTGGACAAATGGGCTTGAGACTTGAGGTTGGGGACCTCAGCATTATAGACATCCATGACTTTTGAAATGATTTTTCAGAATACAAATAGTATTACCATCACATTCATAGAGCTCAAATACCTCAAGCGACAGCTCTATTTGAAGTCAAGCAAGTCTAATAAAGGCCAAAAAAAATCAGTCATTGAGTGAGAAGTGACACTGCTCACATAAGCAATATGTGGTCATAGCATAACTTGGGTAGTTAAATTTGAACCATGATATAATTACAATTGGATTTTTTTACTGCATAGTTGGTTGATCAGAGCTCAGATGGCTTAGGTTATAATCATGGTCCTGTCATAATTTATCCATGAAGTCAATGTTCTTGAAAGCTTTTTTGCTACTCATCAGTCTGCCTGCCCTTCCAACACAGTCAATCCTGTAAAATCTAGGATTTGTTGTGAATACTATTGCATCATTCTTGTATCCACACCCTTGCACCACTCGCAGGAAGACAGTAAAGTTCTGAAAATATGTTGTACAAACCTTGCTTGAGTGTTTCTTGCTGATTATAATCCATTGTCTTTATCATCCTATAAAACTCTGTGATGTATACATCTCCATCCCACAGCCATGACCACTGAGTGTGGTGCTTATAGGAGGCTTCAGGGTCAGGAAAGAATATCAAGGACTGGTTCACAAATGCTCTTGACCTAGGGCCTATGTGGCCTGGAGTTACATCTATATGGTCCTGCAGTTCAACATTGATTGTTTTAAAAGCCACTGATACAAGAGTGTCATCAATGCTGGTTGTGGTGAAGCACTATATCGCATCCTTAAGAGTGTTAGGATAGGGCCCAATCTCTTTGAGGATATTATCTGTAAGTATGAATCATGTTTGTCTTATCAACATGATAATCAGATGTGAAACATATAGTTGAATATGAGACAACTTAGGTGACCATGATCATGGTCTTATTATCATTGCAGTTGAGCTTGAAATTGCTGCCTTGAGTTGAGTCTATGTTGGTGTAGGACTAATGAGATAGTCCTTCAGTTCCAATCCTGCATCCTTCCATGAATCCATCTTTTACACTGCTTTATTTCTTTGAGCCTTTGCATTTGCACCTATGAGGGCTAGCACATTGATATCATCAATTTTCTGCACCTCTTCCAAGCATGTCTCGCTTCATCTCACTTTCTAGATCGAAGTCATATAGGAAAGACATCCCTGCTGTCTCCAGGACATTCCTATTTTCAAGAGAAACCCAAGATTCTGGTCAATTACCTTTCTACTGTCTGTTATTCCAAGATAAGTATTAAAACTTGTGCCTCGATCTCATAGATACATATGAATATTAGCATAATGTGTGACATGAACATTCCATGGATATCTGTGAAGAATGAAGACACAGATGTTGCCAATGAATTTGACAGAATGATCATTGATGACGATGATGAGGATCATGACACCAAACTAGTGAACATCTTCACTAGCATCCCCACCCAAAGTCAGTTATTACAATCTCTGCCATTTCTTTACGTTGATGAATCACAGAAGGAGGATAGTTGAGGTCCCTTCACATGTCCCAAGGAAACACCTGATTCTGTGCCTTCCAGACCTTGTGTGGGTGATATTATCAATGAGAATCTGTACAGAATGGAAGAAGAAGTCACTCATATGTCTATATTAGCAATTGTGTCTAGTATCGCATCTCCTGATACTCCTTCACACGATAGGACATCAACTCCCACCGACTCAAATAAAGATGCTGTCATAAAAACACAATTAGATAAGGATAATATCTTCTGTCCAGCACCGTCAAATGATGAAACATTATTGTCACAAGTGTCCAATATATTGATGGACACTGAAATCTCCACCACATGTGTGTTCTGACTGAAACTCAGACATCTCAAGCTGATAGGGCACTGGTCTATGTTGCTAAGACTATATCATGATCTCTCACTTCCACCCAATTGATTCTCCCATCCCAGCCAACAATGGACGATGACAACAATGTAAGTCCTTCCAACCTGTCAATAATTGGATAGGCTTGATTAAAACAATGACTCACATGTGTCACTGATATAATGGCTATATATTCATTTTGAATCCTATCATTACATATACATATATTTATACCATTGTTAGTTTTATGCATGATGAACCCATATTTAATCTTACAATGCATTATAGCCTATGACCAGTGAGGAGACCTTATGTGGATACAACACATGATACAAACATTTTCATTATATGGAACAATGTAACAGAATAACAGAATGAAACAAACAACAGCGATGTGGAAATGACAATAACAACCAGAACAACACCTGATAGCAGAAGTTACTATAAAATATATAAAGGAATCAAACAATGTAAGCCAGAAGGGATCACACAAATAACAATCACTTCAAGCATCAGAAAAAATATGTATGATTCTATTAGATTTTCTTCAGCAATTGCCATGGTTGAGTGGCACACATTGATTGTTATTTCTGATCAGCACTCATGCACGCCACTCTATTTTGAATTTCCATCCATCAGACAAAAATATGTCTATCTGTGATATCTCAACCTCTCAAGATCTTAATCTCACTACCAGAGTGTTAGGTAGCCATGTCTCAAAGAATAGCCCTATAATCACATGGAAGGATAGACATGTGACTATTCTGCTGGTGGTATATAATGAGCTACGAGCAAATTGACATACCAATAATCAGGTTCATGGCAGATTTCCCCATTTCTACACCTAAATCCTAGGATGACATCTATTTCTCTCATGAAGCTCTTTTGTGCAAGGATATCTCTGATGCTATTGGAGTGGCACTCAGCTAAAACAAGCATGTCATCATTAGAGGTGATAGACACCAGGTAAGATTCACTGATCTATTGGAAGATTCCCTGCATGATATGCTTGTCATCTCACCATATTGACCTGTGTGCATTTATGGTAATGTTTTACATACTTTTTCTGATGTGTTATATGATTGAATACTTGCAATAGATGTCATGTTGTGTTTCAAGGACCATGTGACTCCTACATTACCTGGAATGATATGATCATTCCTCTCGTCAATGACTGATCAGACAAGAATCCAATATATCCTCATTGTAGGCCTTTTATAGGCCGTCCTTCTGGAGTCACTCAGGTGCATTTAGTCATTTTTTTTACTTCTCCATCATTCATTGGACCTATCAAATGTCAGGAATATTGACCATGAGCTTGCTTATGGGTGGAATCAAACAACAAACATAGTTTTGATAATGTCTAACATTCATCTGGATAACTTTAAGGTCAAATGATGAGGTTTAATATACCACACTAGATTTCTAAGCTACCTGCATCATGATTCTGAGGGTATGTTAACATGGATTAGGATGGACCTTGGAGTAACGTTCTGAGTAGTTTTCAGGCTGAAGGATAAACATGACAACCATATTCATCTTCTCATTACCAATCTTGTTGATTTTCCATTCCATACAGCATGGGTGCAGAAGAACTGTGTTGCTGAGGTCATTGTTCTATATACAGAGGATGTGCTGTAAGTTCCTTTGTTCATCAAATTGTCATTGAGGTATCTTATATCTCACCTATGTAGAATATAGTCACCTGACATCATTTATGCTGTGTATACTCCAGTTACATCTTTCACTACCAGAGGACACTTTTACCATTATATGTGCATGCACCTCACCAAACTCGCAAAATATATAGATGCGGAGGTTGCAGACTCTACCACAAATTAGGCTATCGAACATGCACTCAAAACTCTACATTATATGACAATCATGGTACTGTATCTTTTGAAAAGTGTGGGTAAGTTATTATAAATATGTAATTCACTCATATACATAATAATAAATGATAAGTCATGCACAAACAGTCATTACTTGGCCTTTGTATGATTATAAAAAGGTCTCTATAGTATCGCACTATGGGTTATAGCATGAATTCCATTGCTGAATTGGAGACTTCAGTACCAAGCTCAGATTTTGTGACTGCTATCATGGAATTGCTAGGTTTTCATATTCATGCTTCATCATCATTCAATGTCCAGACATTGACTATATATATATACCTATGTAGTAGACTGTTGTCAAGCATACTACACATGCTGTGGAGACACAAGTGTTGCTCCAGTCAGTGAAGAAATGTTTCTATTCAGATTTTGTGTAGTTCTAGGATGTATTAGTGTCATCTAGAACATATTGACAAGTTATTGATATATAATCCTTTTTCATCCTATGTAACATGAGCCTAGTAGTGCACCTTGCCAACTGTGGAAAGCGGGTATGTTTTTGTCCCACCTGGAAATTTCACAGTGGTCTTACTTTTCATAGAGACACAAGAAAAGAAGCAAATGATACTTGTAATGATATGTGGTGTGCTATCCACTACACAAAATCTCAATATTTCTGATACTTTTATTATATAATACTATACCAAGTGTGCAATCACCATAAAAGTAGGTTTATCATTACTAGTGTCTGACACCAATTACCATATCTCCTAATATGTATCTGAATTTCATATATAAAATGACTTTTACCTTTAAGGAGTGTTTTATTGCTATTAGTCATAGTCCATGTATGACGGATCTTGTCAATATGAAGTTTTCAACATGCTCCAATACCATCACTGGAACACCAAACATAGCAGCTGTTGATAGCAAAGATAAAAAATGGGTATTTTGGTTTTCTTTGCGTCCCTCAATTGAATGAATCTACATAAGACAAGCTTCTGGAAAACCATAGTAGTTGAGAAACCTGTGATGGTTTTTCCAGCAAATTAAAACTAAATTTTCGTAGTGCTGATCCTGTCACTTACATAAAATATTCCATATCCTTCCTGTTAGTTTATGTGAGTCAGTTGGTATTCAAATGAGAGCCACAATCAACACAAGCACACCACAGTATGCAATACCTTGTTTCTTCAAGGGTGCATCAGAGTTGAGAAGGTTCTCTGCAATTCTGTTTGAGAAAGGAAAAGGTTGCATAATGTCTTGCAAAGTACCAAAGCTAATAAGGCGAGCGATCACTTGCTCCATTTGGTTGGTGCTCCGAAACAATGATGCTGCAGTCAATTGTTTCAGAATCAACCCCTCTATCATTTATTCTTTGATATCAGTCATTACTTGATACAAGATGTGTTTCTTACCTGCCAGATACCATTTTAAGTGTACGCATAGCTCAGTAGCATCTGAGCATTGCATACAATAATGTCTTAGAATGAAATCAATGTGCTTCCTGAAAAAAATTGTGTCAGTATCCTAGAAGTCTCTTTTTCACCTCATCAACATGTTCTCATCAAAATTGTGCCTCCAGCTCAAGCCATGACATCACCATGGAATTATGAGCATAATCACAACATGGTCATTGGGAAATAGAACTTGCTCTTGTGGTTCCACTCTCTCGCAAAGGCACATTCCTGGAATGAAAGGTTGGCGTTAAAATCCTCAAACTAAGCAATGATATGGGCATCCGGGACCACACAATAGTATTTGTAGTAGTCTCTAATAATAAATTGCCTCATGGCTTAGGTAGTCTTTCTCTTTTCATCTTCAACCACTATCATCACTCAGGACGATACATGTCAAATGTCATGTCCTGTCTATTGCTATTTATTGTGGAGATAGTACCATTGGAATGCCTGCTCATTCCAGAGGCTGATACATGCACTTTGCATGGCTCTGCATCACATCAGACATTTTCAGTTGCCTAGGCACTAATCCATAAATAGCTGCTGTTAACTTATACCCTCTAGGTCCCTGAGTGCTGAGGCACCCTGGGAAAACTGTTGGGGAACAAATGCTCTACCATGTATGCTGGCAACTGGAGTTGCATTGCAAGCATTGCTATTACTCTGCTCAAAGTAAATGTCCTTTTAGCACATATTTTTCAAGGTTTATTGTTGCTAACTGACTTATACTTATCATTTTAGAATCTATGATACTGCAATAAGTAGCCTTTGCTCTTGCATTTCATCATGCAGGTTGTTTGCATTCATCACCCACATCACTCATGCATATGGCTAGACTCTTTTTGGGTGAAGCTATGTGAGTTACAGCACACTATATAAGTCTACATGAGATCTAGTGCGTCCAGTGCCTATTGCCAGTGACATGGGTGCAAGTAGTTGGCCAACAATACAATTTGTTACTTGAGTTCCTTGTGGCGATACCTCATTATAGGCAAGTGATGGTGTGTCAATTTCCTGTTTTATTTGTGCCTATTCCTTGATAATTTAGCCTCTGCAGTCTCTTTCCTCTCATACTGACATTCAGAGATTATATAATTCATGCCTCTGGCATAAGTCACTTCTTATGGCTACCTTAGTTCATGTCTGACTCTTCGCCTTTTAGATCCATCTTACTAGCCTGAGCGAAGCTGATTGTCCCTAGTTAGCCATATATTAACTCTTGTGGCTCAGTATCTTAGATTTCATGCACACAACTAGCTTACTCATTTGTACACTCCCCTAACTTACATGGGAATGTGCTTCTATGATAGTTTCTTCTCACAAGTCCCTTCTGGGCCACCTTATCTATAATCACATTAAAACATAACAGTAGCACAATACATCCATCAAAGTGTTTGTGATGTCAAAATATATTAGTAATCAATGCCCAAAGCCTTCTCTGTGGTATAATAAAGCAGAAACCATCATCACCCACTGATTTTTCTGATTTTTCTCGCAATGTAGGCATTACAAGGTTGTCTATTTGCCAGAGCTAACTGTATGTCACACTAGGCCTCGCTATAAATTTGCATTTTGCAACCATAATGTAAGGAAGAAGTCCTTACTCAAAAAACATGTATCTATTACAATGCTCAGTTAGTGCATACCACCCTCTTCATTGACATGTTAGATCACTCTCTTCATCAGTTAATGGTTCAAACCTGGCCTACGTAAGTGATATATGTTTCCACTATCTGTTATGTGACTACACTGTGCTTGACTCATTTGCAATGAGGACACATCACAATTGACATTTGGAGAGTGAGGCCTCTCCTTCCATTTAAGGAAATTCTACCTTATCAGACTTGACACATATCAATAAAAAATGTAGCCAGCAATAGGTTCCTGAGGTGTCCCAATGCTCAGACACATTGGCAAACACTTGTCAAATAAGTCACCCTAAAATTTATGTACATCTAAGCTTCATTCTATCGAGTTTTAGGAGACACAGGAATCTGCTGTAGATCACTCTTCCTCCCCTCAACAATACCATAATAACGAGAAAAAGAAAGTGTTGATCTTTGAGAGCCTGACCCCTTTGCCAAATGTCACATAGGTATGTTATATCATGATAGTTTAAAAATCTGCCTCTTATAATACCACCTCAGGATTGCCAGGCATTTGGTCTAGAGCTCTCCTCTTTGCCAGGAGATTTGGCTGTTCTCTATGATATTGGTATCATCATTAATGCTATGTACAAAATCACCATTTGGATCAATTGTACAATCACCATTCCTGTCAAATACGCCCACAGTCACACCATCTCTCACCACTGCTTCAAACCTCCTCCTCCCCTGGAGTCAGACATGACTTGCATCCTCAAGTCATTTGGGTGTGTTGATGACTTTACTGCACCTTCTGGCATTGTCCCTCCTATAGTTAGTCTCAAGGTTCTTGACAGTTTAGTTTTCTTAATAGAGGGCTGCAGCTACCTGTCAGCTTTTCTTTGGACCATGCAGGAGCACTTTAAGATTATCCACTCTAATGACCAATGGCGCCCAAACACCAAGAAACAGGATATTCAGTGTGTGTACGAGTTTCATGGCAATCAAACACTTATCCTTGTAGACCTGAACCAGATCATGCCCCTGTAGTAACATGTGTTTGCTGACTACTAGGATGAGATCAGGAAGAAAGCCTTCTGAGCTGATCTGGATATCTATCATATTGACCAAGATACTCACAAGCATGGAACATTCCTTCTCAAAATGAGGTGAAACAAGGCTATTAAGGGTCTCCAGGTCATCCAATTGCTTCAGGTCATTTCAAGCACTGCTGAAAGAGGATTACCTTCAATTATTACACACTACTATCTATAACTGGCTCAATGTCATTCACATCATGCTACCCAACCTCAATCTCACCTTTCTGTGATTGATCAACACTTTGAAAGGGTAGGTTCATCTCAATTAACTTTTATCAGAGCTCAACTGATATTCTTCTAGTCAAATCATAAATACTCCTTTTCAAGCCCCCATGATGACACATATGTTGTGAAGTGTGCATATCTTTGGGAACACTTTTTGATAATGTTTCTGCAGTTCATTGATATACTCCAAACATTCTCACTCAAGCTCCTTATCACTGAAGAGCAATTTGAGAGCCTTATTAGACTCCTCTGCATCTTGAAAGGTAGGGAGAGCAGCAGCATCTTAGACCGCATTCAAGAAGTCTTATTTGTGTTTCTGACAACATCAAATGAGTACATTACTAATGATTGGTTCAGCTGCTCACTGATCCATTATGTCATTTCATCTTACTTATTGCTTAATAGCACTGTTGAGTTGGCCTCCAACATTGTTCCTAATCTGTCATGCCTGCAGTTCTGTATATGCACTTCAGGCATCTTGGAAGCCTACAATAGTGGGTTGAATGAATCCAGTAAATGATTATTATTATGAGTTTTACCATTTTAATTCAATTTATGTTACTAAATTACTGTCAGATTTTATGACTTAATCCTAAAAGACGTGCTTACTAGGGAAAATTGCTATCCTTTCACCATGCTCCACGAGAAGATGCACTTCCTGTCAACTATGGCTCATTCAGAGATCAGACTCCCCAACTTGCTCTAGAATGACATTCACATAGTACTCCAAATGGACGGTTCTCCACTAATCATATCAGTCATCAGGGATATGGTGAAGTCGCTGTTGATTTGAGCCAATGAAATTATAGTGTCGCTATATGAAAGCATTGATATGTCTAACTATAATGCCTGCCTTGAGCATCACTTGAACATTCAGGACCCCACCCATTGGCCAAAAAATCTTCTTCACAAGCAGGACGACAGCTACTTCTTTATCTAAGATCTGGATAACCTATTCAAAGCCCTGCAGGATGTAGAACTAGACTTGTGTCACACTGTTAATGTATGGATGAATGAGGGAATTGGATATAGGATAGCATAGCAATTTTTGTTTGTAGGAAATTAATAAATTTGTAGTGTTTTCTTGGTGCTGTCTATCTCTCTCAGAACTGTCTTTTCAAATATCACATAATACTTGCAAATTGCAAGTCATACTGTCCTTACAATATATAAATTGCTAATATTAGACTGATATATTTATATATAGACTATAATATATATGAACAAGATAATAGTTAACATAGTGAAAGCCCATGGTGCATAAGATCATGAGGTAGTAGAGGGTTCAGGCCAGGGAGATTATGTAATCAATGAGGATAAATAATGATTGATAACACAATAAAGATCAAAACCAACCTTCAACAAAACCAAGATGACACTATGTAAAGGCAAGAAGAAACCCACCAATGATGACAACAATGTGAGTGAATATAATGCTGAGTGAGGAAAATGATGTATAATATGGCAGAAGGTTGCCTTGAGCAGCAACACATTTAAACTAAATACCCGACCAGTATAGGCAACATTGATGAAGGATGAAGTGGTGTCCGAAACCAAATGACATGATGTGGTGGTTACAGCTATGAAGATTGGAATGGGGAAAATCAACATCCTCATAATCGTGAATATATTAAAATTTGGAACATACAACAATAGGCTGAAGAACAACATGCATGTCAACAAAATAATTGTATCATTTGACAAGAATGGAATTCTGTAGGGGATGCAGACAAACACAGTTCTTGCATTGCAATAGGGAAAACACTAGAGAGAAGCTGAACTTATATGGTTAAAACAGAAATAGGTTTCAGAATTCAAAATTGCTTTCTCTTTCTGGGCTGGTATATATTTTAGAGGGATACTCAAGGATTAATATGAGCCCAGAATAAAAGAAAACAGCACCTAGAATATGAAGATATTGCCAAAATACTGACATTTTTGCACATGCAGCATATCTCATGATCCCTGCACTCCATAAAGTTTGAGATTATCACCAATTAATTCCTAGGCCTTAAAAACACTGAGGCCATCATTTACAGTATTGATCCTAGGTCATAATCTAGAATAGCAGGATATATGAAGTAGGAGGAGGAAGGAGGACCATGTGTATCTCATTAAGACCATAATTCTTTCTGGACAAAAAGGCTTGATCATCCTGTTCAGGGTAATAAATAGGCCCTAGGAAAAATGCATTTGGCGTACAAGCAAGTCATGGGAAGCCTGTAAAAATTGAGCTTTGAGGGGGGTATCAGGAAAACTTCTATATTTTTCTTAGTGTGGGTTCAAAACACTCTGGGACTATATCCTGAGTCAGAAAATCAATCATTGCCTGCTTATAGTGTATATCTTTCTCTAATTCATTGATATAGTCTTGATGTTATTTGAGTACAGCATTATGCATCATGCACTTGTCGTCCATCTCTTCACAATGCCTTGCACGAATATCATTGACCTCCTCCTTATCCCTGCACATCTCTATCTCCATATTCTTAACATGGTATTCCATCTGTTCCAAAGCCACAGGGAGAGCATAGGCCCACTTCTTCATTGTATATTCCTCAGCTGCAGAACTATGAAGGTTCAATTCATTCTGCTTGTAATTTCTCATCAATTCTTTAGAATAATCAATACATACATTTGATAGCCTCCCAGCTAACTCTAATGTAATGCATATCTTTCGCTGGGCTTTGTGAATGTAAGGTCCATCTCTGTAGCACATTTTTATAACTATATGGGAAGCAATATTTAAGGTTATATGACTAGATGTAGTTAAATCAGAAAGTCGATGAATGAAGGAACAGAAAGTTTGGTATTGCCATCAAACAAGTATTATGTAAGCATTGTTGAACTAACACTTGAACCCCAGCAAATATGTAGATCTCATTCACATCACACATGGCTTACCGTCATCTTCTTACCATGTAAGGTCACATAGTCACTACTTGGTGACTCTTTCATAGATTTGGCTCTAGCACCATTCCGATGTCATTATTATTTTCATTGCATGAGTACCAGTATAAAGCAGTATACTTATGTGGCTCACTTATTGTCTTGTTGAAATACCTTTCAGTACACACATATGTGTGATAATCAGAAAATCTAAGTTTTTCATGATTGCTGCAAGGCACAGGAGATCCAGGTCATCAGACTTACTACTGAGCATGATACATTGTAATGGGTATTGTCTGGTGTAAAATTTTTCATTTAATTCTTTGATATATGACAATTTTTCTAAATCTTGCCACTGCAATTTAGCAGTCTGGGAAATCCCTTACCCTTGATCGTACATTATCAGCCCAGCCAGGTAGCAATTCTCTGATACCCAGGTGTACCAAGTTTACCACCTCACAAAAAATTCTTGGTCTTTCCAAACTTGGTCTATCATCTTTTGTAGCCTTTTAAATGGTAATAAAGAACTTCTTTAGATGTTTCATACAGTGTAGGACCTCTGGTGTCAGACCACCTCCGAACCTCTGGATGCATCAAGCTTGTTGACTCACAAACAATATCTAGTGTCTTAAAACTTGGTTCATTATCATCAGTAACCTTAAAAATGCTGGAGAGAAACTTGTTTAGCTATATTCTATGATGTATGATTTCTTGTGTCAGATTATCCTCTGACTGCCAGATACACCAAGCTTATCACTTGACAAAAATTACTAGTGCCTCAATACTTGGTTAATCATCTCTAATGGCCTTAGAGATAGTATATATGTATGTGTGTATGGGGGGAGGGGGGGCTTGCTTGAATATTTTCATGTATAGAATCCCTAGTATAAAATTATTCTTTTATGACCAGATGCACTAAGTTTACTGCCTTACAAAAATCTCCTGGTGTCTTAGCACTTGGCCTATCATCTGTGACATTCAAAATGATAAGAAGTCACCATTGACTAAAAACGTTATCTGATTGTATAGAAATGATTCTCAAGCATTATCTTCCTACTCATGACTCTTGGTTATATATAAGTTTCCCTCTATCCTTATTTCCCAACTTCATTATCTGCTCTCTTGCAGAAACAGCAGTATACAACCATCCCTCCATCTCTGGTTTTCTATTTTTTTTATCTTGTTCCACCAGTTGCTGTAGGAGTAATGTAGTTATGATGTGTGAAGGCAAAAATTTAGTTTGTATGATTGTCATTCATGTTCTGCAAATAATTTATTTCTGATGCTATGTTTGGCATGGTTTCTATATCCACTTTCCAATTTCTGTTGCTATTTCTGTCTTCTATTGTTTTTGTTGTCTATCGGATGGAATAGATCACTGGAATTTGGTGGTCAGGAACATGAGTTATGCTCATTTTACTGAGTATCATCTTATATTTCTGTATTATCATGTTAAAATAGTGTAACCCAATTGAAACATCTAGCATTCTTCACAGACAATTATATATACCCTATAGTATTATAAACACATAATTTCCAGCTAATATCACAAAATATTGATATGCTGTGTACTAGGGGAGGAGAAGAAGATGGGCTACAACCTTAGAAAACTTGCTAGTGCTCCAAATCTTAGTTCATTGAATTTTATGATCTTACAAATAGTAGGGAGAAGTTTTGCTTAATGGCTGATGGTGTTAGATACCAATGATAATGGAAAACTGACATCTACTATACTTGTCAAGTCTAATACCTCATAAAAAATTTCTAGTAGTTTACAACTTGGTGCATCATCTGTAACCTTGAAAATAATAGGAAGCAGTTGATTTGGAAGATTAG